TGTAATAAATTTTTAACAAAAATATTCAATAAATACTAAGTAAATACGCAGAGTTTGGACGTAACTCTACGTCTGGACTCTATACATAATAATTTCTCAAGTTTATATAGCTGCAGGTTATGATTTGTTCATTAGAACAATTAGTTTTTAGAAAAAATATTTGTGCGGAGTTCAGATGCAATTTTTTTAAATGTTAAAACTAATAAAAAAGACCTACACGATAGTTATTAAAAAATGATGGAAGTCCTTAAAAGATCTCCTGCTCCCTAAAAGCTCAAAGAGCTACAAGCAAAAGGTGAAAAGAAGCACTAGGAACAGATGATCCCATATATGGTACAAAAAACATAAGGAAATGGTAGACCCTTTTATGGGTTCGAATGCAATTAAAATTGGCTATGTCACTTGTATACTTGATATGTATTATATAGATATTGTATACAATATTTTACACAAATTATATACAGATGATGTGACCTATTTTAATTGAAGTCCGGACGCTTGCTACGTCTGAACTCCACACAGAATAATTTATCTATTTTTTCGAAAACTCAAAGTCAAAGTTAGCATTAAGAACTTTCTTATGAAAATAAAATTCTTCCTTGTTATGTAAGCCCATACAAGTTATACTTAATCAAACACCACATGGTAATCTTGGAGGCAGATCAATGGTTGGCTCGAGTCAACATCGTTGGTGTCATAGGTTCATCTCTTGTCTAGGCTACATGTATTAATGCACCAACAGAAGGTGCTCAAGAAAATATAATGTTTATAAGAGGTTATGAATTTAGATATCTCATTGAGGCGAAAATTTCCAAAGATGAAGGAAATTGGTATTGTTAAGGTTGTGAAGTTTGTGAGAAGAGGCTTTAATTGAGTGTATTTGATTATCGCATTGAGATTGCATCACACCAACTTCAGTTTTTTATGCATCTATTTCTATTATGAACATTTTAGATAAATCTAGTAGAGTAATCAATAGTAGATGTGCTCATGTGCTAAAGTCACATTTTGTAATGACGTAAAATTTGTATAAATAGTTTAAAATTAAAATTTGGGTTGGATGTTACGGCATTGTGCTTGCAAGCGTGGTGCCACTAGGAAACCGGGAAAGCACCACCACGTCGTTGAGCTCTATATTTTACAATAATTACTCTAGAAGCAGCATGCAATCTTTGAGACGCCATATTGAGAGGGTTGTGGTGCTAGGCGTTAAAAATATTTTTTATTTTATAAATATTCACTTCATCACCACACGATTCCTTCCCCATCCCTCATTTCTTACTTGTTGGGTAAGGAAAGGAGAGGAAGAGAAGAGAAAGAGAGAAGGGAGAGAAGAGAGAAGAAGAGGTAAGAAGCATTTTCATCGGCTGATTCTGCTCTAAGATTTCTTCTAAACATGGTAGATAACACAAATACTATTTTTATTTTCAATGATTTTAAGCTCTAAGATTTTAATATCCCCCAAATTGATACAAAAATACATTCTCCTTATTTACCAAATTTTTATTTTGTAACTTTTTTATATGATAGATATGATTCTTATGAGCAATTTAATTGTAATATTTTTAAATTTTACTTGATAGATTTACACTTATGACTTTTGAAGTAAATGTATAATGTATAGATTTTATTGCATTTCATAGTTTATAGCATATCACATATGATACTGAATTTGCATAAAAAATGACATACAACAAACAACAACATCAAGCCTTTATTCCACTACGTGGGGTTGGCTACATGAATCTATTTTCTATATTGTGCTCTGTTAAATTAGAACATTTAAATCTAAAAAAGAAAGGTATTTTTTAATATTTTCTAATCAATTTTTTTAGGTCTACCACCACCTTTCTTAACATAGCCAAACATAATACATATACTTACCTTACTAGGTTATTGGAAGGTCGTCATTTTATGTGACCAAACCATCTAAGACGAATCTCTCTAATCTTATCTTCCACTGACAAGGCAGATGTAATATAAATGTTGCATTACAAAAAAGTCTAGCTAGTTTTAAAATAATTTAGGATCGATGGCAAGAGCGAGAAATCCTTTATAAACGGATGGGCTGATGAGCTTTCCTTTAAATTATAGGTCATGGTGTAATCCTAATACATGATATAAGATACAAGATAAGGAGTATAAAGGGATAAGATCGATACATTGACATGCTGGAGTAATGACTCTTACAAGATTGCCACCTTACACCTAGCACTTGATACTAATACAATATAAATTAATCAAAACACCATAAAAGCGGCTAGATGTCTTCTCTTACTATTCATAATTACATCCATAATTGCCTTTACATGATATTATATAAGTTGATATTGATAGATAGAATTCATATAACTAGAATTAAAATTGATATAGCATAACATAACATATGGTAGGGACATTGATAGATATTGATAAACATATTCATAAAATATACTGATATGGCATACTGATCATATATATACATGACATATCATTTGGTAGAATCATTAGCATGAATATAACTCATAGGTAATTGATGGCTATTTTACCATGCAACACCTAGTATTGATTTATAGTTTTTTTTTTTCTGATTTTTTAATAAGTTGATATATTATTATACTTAGTGAGATGCTTTTGGTCCACTGATCATATTGTTTCTTATAGCGATTTCATGGATTATTTACTATATATACTGATGATTATTGCCTTTATAATGATTGAAATGAGTTAAAATTATTAATAAACAAGTTAAGATTATTAATAATATTATTAATGTTAAATTTATTAATAGAGTAATAATTTAAAGTTATTAATATTAATATTAAAGTTATTAATAGAATAATAAGTTAAAGTTATTAATAAATAATTAAACTACTTATTACTTTAACAACTAAATGTTAATTGGTTAAAGTTATATTAAAGTTACTAAATTAATAATGAATTAAAATAGACTATAAAATTATTCGTTAATGAAATTACGAATATATAATCTTTTTCAGAAATTATTAAAATCCATTGGAAACAAATCTGCCGGAAAGCCGTTGGAAAATTTTTCTAAAAATCTGTCGAAAAGCCGCTAAAAATTCCGTCGGAAAATAGTCCGCTTAAAATCTACCATCAATGGACGATTTTCTTGTAGTGTCACATTTAGAATCTATTACATTAAAACGACTGATAATGGGTGTGTGGCTTGGTTAGTTAAGAAAGGCTCTATCACGAATTGTTTCATGCCTTTTACCATGTTAAATGTTCCTATTATCCTCAAGGGCAAAATCATGTTGGATGTTTTTGGTTTACCTTACATTAACTATTAGCTATTTTGGTTGCTGGTTCTGGTTCTCTATTTGCCTATGTTTGAATTTGTTTTTTCTGCCCTTTCTGTTTTTGCTGGTGCTTCTACTATAGTTCTCTATGGTGTCATCTTTGTTTGGAGCTTTTTGGATTCTGTTCTATATTTTTTATATTTTTTTATTTTGGGGTGCCTTGTGTTTGTTTATCTACTGTTATTTTTTGTTTTTTTGTTCCTCTTGTCGGGTTCGGTTAGCCTATTTTTTGTTGGGTTTTTTTTTGGCTATTGAGTATCCAATTCTCTCAGATGGTGTTATAATTTATGTTTTTCTTACTTTTTCCCTATTTGCCTCCTTTGGTCTCGGTTTTTGCTCGGTATTGCTAGCTATTATTTGGTATTAACGAAGAATATCATCATGTGAAGACCAATATCGAGTTATACCGAGCTATACCGAGCAATACCGAGATATACCGAGCAATACAAAAAAATACCTAGTTTTTCCTAGAAAAAACTCGGTATTGCTCGGCATAGCTCGGTATAACTCGGTATTGGTCTTCACATGATGATATTCTTCGTTAATACCAAACAATAGCTAGCAATACCGAGCAAAAACTGAGTTTTTTAGCGGTGGGAGGGTGTATCTCTACGTCAGGTGGAAGGACGCAATAATTATTCCTTATTTTGGGCTGGGTTTTCCTCTCTGTTTGTCTGTGATTATCATTCTTGCATCTCTTGATCTTTTTCCTATTTTCTATTGCGGTCTCTTCCTCTGGTGTTGTGTTTTATATTTTTTGGGTTTTCTAACCTTTAATGTTTTGCAGGTGCTTTCTATTTTGCAATATATTTTATTTATTTTATTTTTTTTTTTGCAGATATTTGAGTGCAGACTAAACTAATCTGCCTGCTGAGCTGCTTATTTTTTTTTTGGTTTTGTATCTTTTTTATTATGTATTTGCAATTACTTAGGGATCTATAGCACCTTAGTGTTTTTTTTTTTCTTTTTTGATTGTAGCTCTTTGAGCATAGAGAGCAGTGGATTCCTCTAAGAACTTATAATCTTTTTTTTTGATATTAACATATAAGCCCAATGCATGTTTTCCTCCCAAAGAAAAAAAAAAATCTTAATAAGAACATAAGTGAATGATATAGGGAATATGTAGGGGCCATTATCATACTTGAATAGCTTTTTTGCTGGTTTCTAAAACAGCTTTTTAGTGTACTAGAAAACAGTTATAGAAAACAGCAAAAAAAATGTTCCTAAGGAAGCCTTATCAAAATCTTCCGCTTTACAAACAACTAAATATTGACAGAGCCAAACAGCTGCAAAACAAAACATGCAAATGAAAAAACTCCATCGCCTACCAACTACGAAACCAAACAGCACCAAATCCCCGGCCACAAAAGCAGTGGGAAAGCCATTACATAAAGCTCATCTTGCAACTTAAATGAAGAAGAGAACCTCACCCAAATCAGCAGAGGCTCTCCTGGAACAACAGCAAAGGCAAAAAAAGTACTTATTATTATGTGCAAGGGAGAAAGACCAGACTATTTATGGAGAGAGAGAGAAGAAGAAGAAATCCTATATATTTATTTGTTTTTTTACTGATTCAAGCTGTGGCCAATTGCTAGGTGTACAGCTAGTGCAGCATCATCTTCACCATTTGTCTGCTTTCCATAAATCAGTTTTTTTGGCTGTTTAAGCTTCGTTTGGGATGATTTTCTTACTGCTTCTTAAAACAAATTTTTAGTACAAAATTTAATATTTTTGTATTCAAAAACTGCTTTAAGAATCAATAAAAAAACTTTCAGGTCTCTCCCGCCGTATGTTCCTTTCTTGCGCTTGAAATATAGGCCTGAAACGTGATCCATCGTGCACAGAGAATTAATCTGTCAGCATATGAATTTAATTGTGGTGTCAGATGAACAAATGACCACCTCTGCAGTCTCTGCAAAAAGAGAGATATATCTACAATATGAGTTGAGAAAAAAGAAGAAGAAGACAGAAGAAAGAGATGACAGTCTCCCCCATATCTGTAGGTCAATGTTTGCACTTAGTCCCATAGAAATGCCATTATTAAGGGGTTTCTCAAGCCTTATTTTTTAACAGATGGTTTATTTCCCAAAAAGAAAGAGTTTTAGATCCCCAGATTTTCAACACCATCAATTCAATATTAATACAAAGCTTTTGGATGTTTTTAAGTTTTTGTATCAGTTACATATTAACCAAATATTAAAATCTTTGCTTAGTATTACTCTTTCAAACATCTAATAACCCTTAATTTATTCAATTTTTGAACATATAATTGCTTGCTAGCGACATCAAAACAATACAACTTAGACTTAGGCTTTGTTTGGGACGGCTTTTTTGTTGCTTTTATACTAGAAAGCTGCTTCAAGAAATAGTTAAAAAGGCATTGGATTTTAATTTTATTGCTTCTTAAAGCAGCTGTTTAAAATATTAAAATTTTTGTATTAAAAAACTGTATTAAGAAACATTAAAAAAGCCATCCCAAACAAAGCATTAGTTTGGGACAACTTTCTTATTGATTTATAAAACAATTTTTTAATATAAATTTTTTTTTAGCTAAAAAACTGCTTTAAAAATTAATAAGAAAACAGTCTCAAAGGAAATCTTAGTTATCAAATCTAAGAATAAAACAAGTGATCAAACGTGTTTCATGACATAAGTAGTTGAGACAAAGAGGAAAAAAACAACATAGCCAAATATGCATTCAAAATACAAATAACTGAAGATATATCCTAAAATAAATAAAAAAAAAAAAAAACAAATAGGCATTCAAAATACAAATAATTGAAGATATATCCTTCCATATAATTATTTTTTGGTGACTTCATCAGATATCTTTTAATTTTAATTCATATTTAGTTTTTAGTTCTATCATTTTTAAATATTATCTGGCAATTTTTTAAAGATATGTATTTATTTTACAGTCCAATTTTTTAATTTCATTTCACTCAGTTTGATTATGTTTTGTTAATATTTAATTATTGAAAAATTATATGTAATTACTGAAAGATGTTTGCTGATTTTCCTTATTGTAGTTATTATCTGAAGGAAACTAATTACTAAAGCCAATCAAATGTTTATTACCATAATTACATTTATATATGAAAGTATGAACAATATCTGTAAAAAATAATCAAATTCCAAGAAGAAGAAGATGATGATGATGAGAGGGTTAAAATGAATGAAAAATTGTTGGGGCTGATGTTATGCATGTGATGAGAAAAAATAAATAAATTTCCCATCACAATAAGGCTTTTGTTTGGGACCGTTTTCTTACTGCTTCTTAAAATAGCTTTCTTGCACAAAAATTTTAATTCTATACTAAAAAACTGCTTTAAGAAATGGTAAGAAAATCGTCCCAAACAAAGCCTTATTGTGATAAAACTTTTAAACGAAGCAATGCACAATTAAGAAAAAAACAAAGTAATAAAAAATTAAAAATTATACAAAAATCAAATCAAAGGTCGTATATGATGTTTTCTAACTATTTCTTACATATAATTCATCATAAAATATTTATTTTTTCTTACAATCTTCCTCATTTTACTAGTTTATATAAGATATGACATAATAAACAAATAAAAAATAGCACAAACAATACATTTTATCATTATAACAGTTATTAAAGTGACGGAAGTGAGCTTAAAATACATGTTTTGTTGTAAAAGAAAAATATTTTGATCGACAACCTCTGTCAAATAAGCTTTAGAACCTCTGTCAAATATAATATAGTTTTCAAAAATTATAAGCTAAAATAAACTTGATGGAGTTTGGGTGTTGGATAAAAAAATTCTGATAAATTCATCTTGATCGAAACCCATTTAAGGTCATTAATCATGCTTAATTAGACCAAATTTATTATGTCATACAGCATATAACATAAATGTTAGCTTCGTTGAGTTCTGTTCAAGTGAGACTGTTATGCATTTATAAAGAAAATGGGCTGAGAACTAACTGTACTTAAGAATTTTTATGATTTGGGAACCCTAAGCCCACTCTAGATTCCCTCGAACGACAATGTCTCTTAAGAGGGGCCAATTAAGTGTGGGTATTGAGGTTTCTGGGGTAGGTGCCTCTTCTAGGCTAGCCAAAGATTAATCATACTCTCATGCGCCTTTCGGGGGTGTTTCATGCACCTTTCGGGGTGGCAGCGGTTCAATTCCTCCTTTAAAAAAAAACACACATTTCTTTTAAACTATCTTGACTCAATTTTGGCCGAAAAGAAGTACCACAATCCAGATTTTTACTCTTGACAAGGAATGGAAGAACAGAAAATTAGGAGCTAGGTAGTAAGTAATAGATAAGAGGGAGGGAGAGAGAGAGATAGAGGGAACGGTAGTTGGCTTTTAGGACTAAAATGAAAAGGTTGCTTCAAGCTATATATTACTGCATTTCCTTAGAAATACAGAACCCGAATCAGTGGTCATTTTAGAAAGAGAATTCCATCATATATAAACGGAAAGCACCTTGCTTATACCTTTAACTCCAAAAGGAAGGGGGAGAGGGGAGGAGGACCCTAGTGAGAGATGTGCGATATGAATACAGAGAGGAAGAGAGATGCGAAGATCAATAGGTGTTTTTCCTTATAGCAGAAGAGAAAGATAGAGATTTTAGTGGTCTTTTCAAAACTCATAGTGCAGGTTATCTTTAACATTCCTAACAATCAATTCAATTTTTTAGATTTATAGCTTTTAACCCTAATCCCCTAATCACATCTGTTTAATCCATTTATGTTGCTTGCGAGTTTTCCACACACACACACACACACACACACACACAGAGAGAGAGAGAGAGAGAGAGAGAGAGAGAGAGAGAGAGAGAGAGAGAGAGAGAGAGAGAGAGAGAGAGAGAGAGAGAGAGAGAGAGAGAGAGAGAGAGAGATATTTGTGAATCTTACGTCGGAGCTTAGGATGAATGCAGCAATCTCTACGCTGAAAAGCTGAAAGCTGAACCACCAAAAGAAGATCAAGCGCGGTCTAAAATTCAACGAATAGTTAAAGAAGTCAAGAAGAAGGACCCTCTCCACTTCTCTCCTCATCGAACCTTCTCCTCTGATGAAAATTATGATGAAGACGAAGGCCACTCCCTTCTTGGAACTGCAACCCTTGTTGATGCTGCAGCTCCGCAAACGAGCCTTCAAACCCACTAATGTGCGGGGAAACCAACGCCAGCGGCGGAGAAGCCTCAGCCGCCGCCGCCCCACCACTGCTTCCATCTCCGATAAGCCTCGCCAATACATGTTGCTGCTCTATGCTCCGCAGTATCTCATGCTCTCTCCTCCTCAGCATCTCATGCTCTCTCTCCGCTGCCACAACCTCTGCGAGCTGCTGTATTTCCACCATCATCTGCTGCTGCTGCTGCTGCTGATGGTGATGATGTTGATATTGATGATGTTGTTGATCTTTATACATCGGTGGCGCCGCAGATGTTGAAGCCGATCCCTGACCGGCGAGCCCAGCCCTCACGGCCATGGCCTCGGCATAGAATTGGTTTTGTGGGCCCGGGCAGATACAGAGCGATAGCTCCCTCTTAGCAGCCGATAAATCGCGCTGGAGCTGCATTAGGCGATGCTGAAGCAGGGAGATATAGCCGACGCATCCAAGCACAGGATCGTGAAGGCGCGCCTCGGCCTCGTAGGCCAGCGAGTTGACGGCGTCTTCGCGCTGCGCCGGCGAAAGTTCGTTGAGAAGCTTGGAGACGTTGCTGGCGCCGAACACCCGGTGAACATGAATGAATTTTGTCGGATTGTCTGGCGGGAAGTATGGCGCGAATATGCAACCGGTCGGCATGCATTTTCGTCGGAGAAATTTGCACGCCGCGCACGGCGAGTTCGACGACGACGACATCCACTTCGTTCGATTTCAATATCTCTCTCTTTCTTTTCCTCTCCCTATTTCTATATTTCTCTGTCGGCCTTTTGTCTCCTTTCCTTGTCGCGCTCTCGCTATCCACAAGAAGACAAAAAGAACAAACGGTTAGATGAGAATTAATGGAGCAGCATCGTAAGCGTGGACAGTATGATTTTTTCTAGTCCTAATTATTTCGAAATAGGGGGGCGATGGCGGCTGATCCTTGACCTAGGGTTAGGGTTCCCGGAAACTCTGATCAGATTAGATCTCAGGCGGCGGGAGCTCAATCGGATCGGAGGAGGATAGCGGGAAATCGGAGATCGTTTCGCAGGCGATCTCCGCCGCGGCTGGAGAAGATCTCGCGAAAAATTTCCCCCTAAGCCGGCGGCGGCTGAGGAGGAGGCGGCGGCGGCGGAGAAGTAGCTTTCAGTTTTTTGGATTTAGCTCAGCTTAGAAATGGTATAAAGGTAAAACGAGAGAAAATAATTTGGAAATGACGGAATTGGGAGAAAAACAAGGAGGAGAAGAAGGGAGGGAGACCGCCATAGCCGCATGGATTTCCGGTCCGCTGAAGAGAGAGAAAGAGAGATAGAAGAGAGAGAGAGAGAGGGTTTCACGTTACAGATCCCTATAGAAGTGGAAGCCAAAGCATATTAAAATAAGGCGATAAATTAATTTGGAAGAATGAAAATTAATAATAAATTAATAATAATTTAGGGATAATTAACTTGCGCGATCCGATGTGACGACTTGGGCCGTCCAGATCGGACCTCGGGGCGCTGGCCGTCCGATCCAAGCCAGCTGGACGTCCTGCCGCGGCGACGGTGGGGTGTACCGCGAAATATTTATGTCATAGCTGATGGGGGGTTGGTCTACAAGATGGATTACACGTGGTGGGTTAGTGTGGGTCAGGGGAGATGACTTGTTGTGTATATGTTGCTCCGACGATGCATCAACTCCTGCCGACTGATGCCAATTTTACGCCAACCAGAAAAAAAATATAGGTGGATCAAAATTTGACCGTAAATAAAACAAATCTAAAATTTATTAGATTAACTTTATTATGAAATTAATAAAAAGTTAAATTCAATTTGTATTTAAATATTTTTTACTTTTAAGTATTATTTTAAATAAATTATTCATAATGCTAAAAAGTATTAAGGTTGTGAAAATAAGATCAAACAACAAACCGAAAGGAGTAGTTCAACCGGTTCGACCGAACAATATGACATAATAAATGATAAATGTTGTGAAATGATAATTGTTGTGTCGAGGAGTATTCGCGGCGGTAGAGAAATATAACTGGTGTGGCGCGTCAAAGGCCTTCACACAATGCCGCTAAAAGGAAGGGTGGCGAGTTGCCATGTCAGTATGCAAACTGCCGCGTAAGCGGTGATAGGGCCAGGGGTGAGGCCGAGGTGGGCAACAGGGCAATAGGGCCTATGCTAGGGGACTAGGAGAGTAGGTTGAGGCGGGCAGTAGGGCCTAGGATAGGCGAGCAGGTTGAGGCGAGCTTAACATGGGCTTCACCCATGGGCGGATCCCCATACAAGTGAGGGGGGGCAAATGCCCACCCTCAAAATTTTTTTTTTTTTTTTTTTTATAATTTTAGAGGGTATTTTTTGGAACATTTTGGATATTTTGGGTATTTTTCCCCCTCTCAAAAAATTTTTTTGCCCTAATTTTATCAATCCTAATCATTTTTGCCCATCCCCTAAAAAAAGAAGCTGGATCCGCCCCTGGCTTCACCATTCTCATTTTGACTCAGTGTGCCGCGCCATACGTGATAGATGGCTTGGCGAGACAAGCGGATCGGGTGATCAATTTCGGGTTGTTTTTGGGTTGTCGGTCACCCAAAACAAAATTTAAAATTGGGGCACATTTCTGAATGCGAACCTGACTCAATATTTGATAAACGGGTTGACCCAAACTCAAAATTTTTCGAGTCAGGTTTCAGGTCGTATCAAAATTTGACGCCTCTATGAGAGAGAGAGAGAGAGAGAGAGAGAGAGAGAGAGAGAGAGAGAGAGAGAGACTATTTCCTTATTCAAAGATACATTACTTAAGCTAAAAACATAATACCATAATTCTTTAGATTCCTTTATGCACAAATATATAATATGTTGCATAAAGAAACTCAAACCTAATAAATTAACGTTAATTCTTAAAACATTTATCAACTAAAATTAATTAAGATACTACATTTTAATTAATTATTATCATTATTATAATGATGAAAGCCTGACCCACCTTAAAGAAATTACATGAATGCCTTCCTTCGCATCATCACATGGTAGGTAGGGAGACTCTCTCTCTAAGTTAGTCAAAGTTCTCTCTCATTCGGAAGAAGAGATAAGTGGTAGAGAGTTAGAGACCAATAGTGCTGAGCTCATATATTCACATGCATGAAACGGACAAGACACTTAACATTCTGAAAGCTTGTCCTCAAATAATCTCATTTTCATCACGTTGTCTGTCTATGATTCATCTCATCATCCATATATAGGGGTGTAAACGAATCGAGTTTTGACCTTATCAAGCTCAGCTCTTCAGCCGGAAGGTGAGCTCGAACTCTAGCTAGAGCTCAAACTCATCGACCCATAGTAAACAAGCTCATATTGGCTCGCGAGCCCACGATTGTCTTCCGCTCTCATCCTAGCTCTCTGTTATCTGCACTCTTCCCATGCGCAGACCACCAGACGTGCGGTCGTTCACCATGCATAGGTCACGAACACCCTCAAGCCCAACGAGTCTGCAGACTCGAATATGCACATGGTCGATCGATCCGTCTCTCGGTCATTCTCCGCATGCGACCAGTCGAATATGCACGGTCCGCCTCATATTAAACGTGGTCCGCCTCGCACGAGATGTCCGCCTAGAGCTATGCAGTGACGCGATATCTGTCAGGTGGGATTTAAATCGCTAGCGGGATTTCATTTAGGTATAGGCGGGATTTGAATCAAGGATTAGGCTGAATTAAAAAAAAAAAAACATTTAGTATTAACTTTTAATGGTATTTAAATAGTAATAATGATTCGAGCTGGCTCGCGAGGTGAGCCTTATCATTTGAACTAAAAACTTTTGAACTAGAAAGTTGCTTTACAAAGCTGCTTTAAACGAAGCCTTAGGCTTTGTTTGGGACGACTTTCTACCTGCTTCTTAAAGCAGCTTTTCAGTATAAAAATTAAAAATTTTTAGTAGAAAGCCGCTGTAAAAGATAGTAAGAAAGCTGTTCCAAACGAAATCTTAATTGAATTACGGTAATATATATGTTCTCATATGCATGATATATCACATATTTTGTTGATACATATACAACAAACTCAATCAATAGATCTTGCCTAGAAAACAAGTGATTTAATGAGTTCCTTCTTAAAATTTTCAGTATGTTTTAATTTCCTGATGATCAAAATTCTGAAGCAATAAAAGCTAATCAAGCTTTATAAGAGAAAAAAAAAAGTTCACGTTTATGTTGAACGTTATGGCTTTAATAGATTGTTAGCTACACTACAATTTAGGTTTCGTTTGTGATAGTTTTTTTACTAATTTCTAAAGCAGTTTTTCAGTTAAAAATTTTCTTAAACTAAAATTTTTGTTCAGAAACTGGTTTAGAAAGCATTAAGAAATCCGCCCCAAATGCAATCAACTTGCTTGTCAAACAGTTTGGTCTATTTTCTGAAAATTTTGAGCTTCTCTGCATAATTTTTAAGCCTTATTTTACATTGTTCGAATGAATCAAAATAGAGGAAATGAAAAAACAGTGAAAATGAAAGTGATAAAACGAATTCATGGAATTACTTTTCACAAAGTTGTTTGCTTGGTTGAGGAGAAACTGTTACAAAATATTTTTTTTCTCTTTTTTATTTGATTGATCAGAAGTTCAGTTTTTTGTTTCATTCATGCAGAGACTGTTTGTGTCGCAGTCATAACTCGAAAATTTTTCATTACAGTTGGAATAGAAAAATCCATTTGCTTCTCTTTCTTAAGTAAATCGATTTTACAACTCCAATTATTACGTCCTCCGACCGGACATAGAGGAACGTCCGGTCGGAGGCAAATTCCCGCCAAAAAACGAGTTGTACCGAGCAAATACCGAGCAATACTAAACAATAACGAAGAATACCATCATTTGAAGACCCAATACCGAGTTATACCGGGCTTTACCGAGCAAATACCGAGTTATACCAAAGATGTACCGAGTTTTTCCCAGAAAAACTCGGTACAACTCGGTATTTCTCGGTACAGCTCGGTATAACTCGGTATTGGTCTTCAAAGAACGATATTCCTTATTATTATCAAATAATACCTAATTGTACCGAGTAAATACCTAGTTTTTTTAAGGGGAAATTGCCTCCGACCGGACGTTCCTCTACGTCCTTGCATCGGACGTAATCAAAGTTCCTTCACGTGATATTAATTATGATATATAATATTTTTGCATTCTCTCAAAACTCATCAAACAAAACAAATTCTTAATCTAAGAAGAAGAAGGGGGAGGAGGAGCAGCAGCAGCAGGAGGAGAGATTCCTAGATGATAAGCTTTGAGATATTATTGTTAGTAATAAGTGATTTTAATAACCTCTTATACTAAATAACCCCTGTTGACCTATTATTTATAGGCTTTTATTACTATAGAAAAATAGCACTATTTCTAGCGTCAAGCGAGTTAATGATTTTCATTTAAAAAAATGATCTTTATGTCGAGTGTTGTAACTATAAAATGAGTGCCAGCATGAAACTAGCTAGTGTCAATAACAGGTACATGTCAGAAATAATAATATATTTATTTTTTTGAATATAATGCCAAAATTATAATAATATGATAATATTTAAGATTTAATTTTAGAGTATTTCACATTACTCACTACACTCCTTATACCTCCACTTATTTTTTTTTTCTTTGCCCCTTGTACATGTAGTTTCACTTATACCTAAAACTTAATCTACTCATTTTTTTTGTTAAAACTCACGGAGCGGCCTACGCATTAATACAAAAACAGGGTTACAAGATCCTTAAAAGGAACCTCCAACTTACTAATGCTCCAAAGAGCTACACAATAAAACAAAATAAAACATAATAGCCGGTGGTTCCTTATACTAAAAGTTACAAAAATACCTAATAACATACTAGGGCTGCAAGAAGACAACATCCAAAAAAGGAAGATCAAGGGATCAACATTCAGCACAAACTTACTGCAAAAATTGATGATTGATCCGTAGGTAGCAAAATATGCTTGAGCGTCCGAAGAATCAACAGAGATAAGCATCCAGTACCCAAGAAACCTACAAACAAAAAACTTACATACTAAAAGAGTGAGAAAACAGTTAAAAATGTACAAGAGAATGCCATTGACCCAGTCAAAAATAGTAATCGGGCAGCTATCACAATTCTTACAATCTACAAATTTTTGGACATGCAGCAAACATAACAATTTTCTCATCAGATTATAACATAAAAACTCCCCAATAGGTCATGGAAAATGGAATAAAAGTCCCCACCAGGTCATAGACCTACAGCAACTTAGAAACATAGCCCCAAATACCAGCCATAGTAACCATCCAGTTTTGACCACAAAAAAACCACCAGTTAGAATCATCCATAGTAACCATCCAGTTATGACCCCAAAACAA